GGGGCGGGGGCGACGCCCGCAGCCGCAGGCTGGAGGGGGGAGCCGCGGCCGCACCCCACCCCTCGCGCCCGCGCTCCCTCCGCCTTGCTGGCGTGGCCCCCACTTTCTTCTAGTCACGCTGCGGGGCTGGACAGCTCCCCGGATAACCCCAGAACCCGGACCCACTTCCTGGGCTCTTCTTTTTGGAGCCTCCAGCTCACTGGGGTCTCTCAGCATCCGCTCCCCTGACTCTAATCTCCCTCTTTTTTTCGGGGCGAGGGGGTAGGGGGCCGCAAGCTGCTCTCCAAGACCTGAAGAAGAGGAAAGGGGGCTGGGAGCTTGGAGGGCCTCTCGACGTCGCAGGGGCGTCTTGGGCCGTGGGGGAAGGGGCCCCTGGAGCTGGGCCAGGCAACTCAGAGTTGCTTTTCCCTGGGAACACCCACTGTGTCAGCCCGCCTGCCATCGCTGGGGGGAAGAGGGAGTCGGCCCTCCCGAATGAGGAGAAAGCCTGAGGATAGGGGGAGAGGGGAAACCAAAGTCTAAATACCCTCCCCTCAGGGCATCTCCTGGGTCCTAGATCCACAAACTGGGTTGAGGGGGTGGGAGGGGCAAAAATAAGATTCCTACATTCCCAGTAGGAAAGTGGTCGCAACTCTGCAAGACCAAGGTTGTGAGAAAGAAAGGCGGGAGGGGTTAGACCTCATTTATGAGGGTGTATGTTATTATCCCCATTTTACAGAGGGAAAAACTGAATGAAGCTCAGGGAAAGAGCGCAGAACTTGAGGTCAGACGCTCTGGGTCCTAATCATACCTATCTACTCCCGAGCTCTGTAACCTTGATGACTCATTTATCTTTGGATCCTCAGTTTCCTTTAGTGTAAAACAGGGACATTATCCTCCCCACCAAACTGTAATGAGGATGAAATATGTGAAAGGGCATTTGCACTCACTCAGCAAATGCTAGTTTCCTTTCTTCCTTTCCTAAGTGATTTGCCTGAGGTCACACTGCTAGGAAGCAGCATGGTTGAGCTCGAGGCCCCGGTGGCCCTGACTTCTGCTACACCACAGCTGTCTTTGTGTCCTGGGCCCGCGCTTCATTAGCTTGGAGCATCAGAGGAACGCAGGATCTGGGATGGCCATGACGTTCAACTCCCAGACACAGCTGTCAGCGCCTAATGTTCCTAAATTACTCCCAGACACTGACCTTTGGACTCAGCTGCTGCTGTTGTCCCAGTTTGCTGATTCCTCCCCACCACGAATTATCTTTCTTCATCTCTCTCTTAAAATCTTCATCTCAGGGTCTCAGGCTCTCGAATTGTGGCTGCTGATAACCTGTTGTCTTCCTCCATGGCTGTTGGATGTTCCATGTTCCATGTTCCATGGATGTTGCTTTAGCAAGGTATCCAGAGAGAGTGGGAAGGTGGCACACTTGGCATTAACCCCCAAGCCCTCCTGTGGAGGACCATTTACTGCAATGGTGCAGAAGAGAGGCAGTCAACCTTCAGGCTAGAGACCAAATGCTATCCCTTCCCTCCCACCCATGATTGTGGTCAAGAGGGAGATTTCTAGGTGATAAAATGGGAGGAGGTAGCAAGGAGGGGCAGAAAGTAAAACCAGCCCTTTCCACTGGGCTAGGGCCAGAACGGGAACCTTGGTGGCATAGTGGATAAGAGCTACTCTGTTCTATAGGGTCGCTATGAGTCGGAATCGACTTGACGGCAATGCGTTTTGTTTTGTGTTGATTTAGGGCCAGAAGCAGAACTCTGGTGGCATAGTGGTTAAGAGCTTGGCTGCTAACCAAAAGGCTGGCAGTTCGAATCCACCAGCCACTCCTTGAAAACCCTATGGGGCAATTTCTACTCTGTCCTATAGGGTCGCTATGAGTCAGAATCGGCTATGAGTCAAAATCGACTATGAGTCAAAATCGACTTGATGGCAAGGGGTTTTAGGGCCAGAAGCACCTGAGCCTACTATGGGTTAAGCCTGGGATTGGGGGCCAGGATTAAGATTGAAAAGTAAATGTTAGGTTTGAAACAGGGCAGTGTGGTTTAATAGATAAACACTGGTTAGGATTCTGAAGGCAGGTTCTGCCTCTGTCTTGTCTAACCTTGGGTAGATCACATCTCTGTTCCTCAATATTTTCATACATAAAATGACTTTAGAATCCAAAAGGAAAATGTAGGCGATTTGGTAGAAAGCATTATTTTTAGTCCAAGGTTGGGGTTAAGTTTGCATCATGACATAGTGACTTCCAAAGGAGAGCTTATGTAGTCATCCCTGAACTTGGGAGTACAAAGCCTCTAGTTGGAGAATCAAGGAATTTCCTCTCTTCCTGATTTTCCTCCTCGCCCCCACCCCCACTTTTTCATACCAGTTGGATATTTTCATTAACTGCTGGGGCTTGCTAGTAATGGGAGTCTGTTATAGGAATCCTTTGGGGCTGAACAGGTGACTGGAGACCTCACCTTCCTCTTTCAAGTTGCTATAGAAGATGGTCGCATGATCTGCTGCAGTGGGAGAGGGAACGATTTCCTTAGGGTCTGAGGCTGGTTCATGGGAAGTTCCGTTTCCTACCCCAGGGGCCCTCTCTAAGCCCATTTCTAATTTTGGTATTAAAAAAATCCCATATTTTTAAATTACAAGTAATGCATGAATTTATACTAGTTGTAAACTATTTAAAAACACAAAAATTTATACCTCCACTCCTACCTCACTCTCCCACATATTTTGGATTTTGAAAAAAACATACATAGGATCTAGTATACCTATTGTTCAGTGACTTCTTTTTTTTCCTCTTAATAATATGTCTTGAGTATCATTGCATGATATTATCTATAGATGTGCCTCTTTCCTCTTAACTGTAACATGTTACTGTTGTTAGTTGCCGGCCAGGTGTAGTATTGCCTTTAGTCTTTTTTTCTTCTATCCAGTGGCGGCTAATCTTTAAGGTCCGTTCATATTCCCTTATTCCTCTGCTGTACTCCCACTCCAGTGCTTGGGAAGAGAGGAATCCAAGTGGCCATTTTCCTGAGATTTCTGGCCCCACCCTAGATTGAGTCCTCCTGGGTGGGGATCCTACTACCATGTAAATTTCCTTTCTTGTGGCAGGCCAAGGGCCATCCTGCCTGGAGTAAGGGGAGAAGTGACTTGACCCTTAGAAGGAGCACCATTTCTAATCCTCAGCCTTCCCCTCTGTTATGGATTTAATTATGTCCCCCCAAAATACGTGTTGTAAATCCTAACCTCTGTGCCGGTGGTTATAATCCCATTTGGGAATGGGTTGTCTTTGTTATGTTAACGAGGCAGGATTAGTGTAGGGTGTATCTTGAGTCAATCTCTTTAGAGATAGAGAGATTAAACAAGTGAGCAGAGCAGAGATGCCAAGCCACATGAAGATCCGGCCAGGAGCAGAAGCTCAAAGAGACAAGGACCTTCCTCCAGAGCCGACAGAGAAAGCGCCTAAAGCCCACACTCTGAATTTAGACTTCTAGCCTCCTAAACTGTGAGAAAATAAAATTTCTGTTTGTTACAGCCATCCACTTGTGGTGTTTGTGTTATAGCAGCATTAGATAACTAAGACACCACCCAAATCTAAAACAATGTGAAGGGGTAAAAAGCACTGGGGTGGTGGGGGATCGGGGTGGGGGAAGCAGGGAGGGTCTCCCACACCATGCAAATTACAAAGAACATCCTGCAATTAGTATCTTTACCCTGTAGAGACATTCACACATGCTGGCCTCTTCCCCAGCTGTCTGCAAAATGTTGAGCAGAGCACAGGAGATGTGAGAGACAGACAGGGTCAGGGAAGCCAGAAGTCTTGGCTGGGAAAGGCTGATCCTTCCAAACATGAGAGAGGAGACAGATTTCTTCAGAGGGAAGGAAGGCAGCAGGATAATCAGAGGAGCTGCAGTCAGAGAGCCAGCTGGCTAAGGGAGGGAAGGCGAAAGGGTAGGGGCACAACTACCCCATTGCTCCCCAGACTCCGGATCTCCAGGATGGCAGGAGGAGCCTGACTGCTTCCCAGAAGAAAGAATGGTTATTGGAGAAAACTTTGGCCCCTGAGTTGGTTAAAAAGCAGAGAAAATGGTCAAGTCATATTTCCTCATTGACTGCTGTAGCTGTCATTTCTTGAACACTTACTGTGAGCCACATAGTGTGTTCTCTGACACAGGTGCCAAGTGCTTTGTGTGTATTTTGTAAAGCCCCACCACCACAAGATTAGAACTGTCTTTTCCATGAGTCAAATGGGGAAACAGGATCAGAGGGTTTAAGTGATTTGCCCAAGGTCCCAGAGCTAGTCATTGGCATAGCCAGTGTTTGAACCTAGATCTATCTGACGCTAAGGTTCACATTTTAACCATTCTAATGTATCATCTCCCTCTCACTCCAGATTGATTCCTTACTGAGTCTCGAAAAGAGGAGAGAAGGATAGAGGGCTTCTTCCAGGACCACACTGATCCCTTCTTCCCCAACCTAGGCTGGACCATTACATCACATAGTGTAGGCTGTTTTTCTGAAAAGAACCAAGGCTAGATTCACAAGAATGACACTCAGACAGCGTGACTGAGGAGAACCATGGCCAAATGACCACAGCACACACCCAGCAGTGCTGAGAACACAGTTGGTCCCTCGGCACCTAGGGCTGACTCATAGTTGCTGTCAGGACCCAATGCCAGATGCCAGATGCCAGGATTGCTTTCATGCTCCCCCTCCATTTCTCAGGATGGGGTGTGCTTTCTGTGTCTGTCCTATGAAACCATCCCCAAGAACCCTTCTACCCCCT